TGAAGTATACAACGTCCTAAGTGGCGAAATTACGAGGGGCGGCTAGCGTATCAAAGGCCATCCAATTCAGTTAGCAAGGTTTACTACGAAATTGCACCATACTACATCAATTAAACGGCTCATTATTCGTTGAGCACACCTTTACTTGCATTTTCATGAAATGACAAATATTTGAATGTCATACTGTTTAGCTGGACAAGTGGGTTAAGGTCCGCGCCTGATACGCATCACGTTTTGTTAAATCTCATGTTTTTACAAAAAAACAAATAATTTCTTCATCTGTCGATAGTTTGAGTGTCAAAGGCCTTGGCTCCGTACGACAAACTTGACACTTAAAGCGGACAAGTGCACGACTTGTACACGCTTTTATGTTTAAATTTGTGTCTGGGTGTGTTGTGTATATGATTTTCCAGCTAAGCAAACACGACACACGAGATAGTCCTAGTGTTCTATTTAAAACAAAAGAATCAAAACAAAGAATTAAAACACGTAGAGCCGTAATATTAAAAAATCTAATATCTCCAATTTATTTAAAGCCCAACCTTGTGTAAGCCGTAAAAATATAGCTCGTAAACTCCAAGTCAGCGGGGTAGGTTATATAATAATTTTTAAACCAAGATTTTCTAAGAATTATTATGTAGGAATCGCAGACAATAATAAAATGGTTTTCTTTAGTAAAAAACTTACCTAATCACTAAACATGTTTCTAAGCGCAAATTTCAAGATGACAAACTAATTACACTGATTATCTTTTATTGTGTTTATTATTGTAAGTGAAACTTGTGTTCAAAACAAAAGGTTAAGGTTGGAACAGGAGAAGCAACAAAAGAGTGTCTTTAAGTCAGTAAGAGATTGGACTCCCTCCCGTCCTGCCCAGGATGGGAAAAGTTATTAGAAGACTTTCCAATTTTAGCTACAGTAGGTAGGTACGCAAAGTAGATGAGAAGCAGGGTAGATTAGGCTAAAGTAGGCGCAAAAGCACGAACAAAAGCTGTTTACAATAATCTCCAACCAAATAACTCATATACACAAAGTACCTTCAAATGTACTGCATTATCAGTATTATCTAAACAACAAGACTGCGTAAATTAGCATGCAACTCTTTGTTCTGTTGCAGAAGATAAATATCTCGTTAAAGAGATTCATTACATTTGTAATAATAGTACTGGAAGCATTCCAATTGCAACAATAATTTTAATTAGTACTTGCAACAATTGCAGACATTGTATATTTCCTAGTTTTATTTTACTAATTATATCTTCCTCAATATATATTTTCTTAAAAAGAAACCTTGAACCGTATAAAGATGTTGATAAAGTTCATTTAAAAAATAAAAACAAATAAATACTAATATTCACATATTCACATTTTAAAATTGAAATCTGCATTAAGACAATGCAATTATGACAAAGAAAAAATAAACATTCAGAGAGAAATAATTAAAAATAAATAAAACTCCCGGACACAATAATTTTAACATGAAAATTTTAACAAAATCCGAAGTAATGAAATTAAAATATAATTGAAAATAGAAAATGAATTTAAACATTACGTGGAACCTTGTTACATAACCTACCAATTAATTTTGTTTATGCAAATCGTATGAAATCAAATAAATCATTGAAACTACGTTTTTTACGGATGTTCAGCTGAAACTAGTTAATTATGACCAAAAGGAAATGAATGCAACGATGTTCTTAAATCTATTTATTACAAACAGTCTATCCTTCCCTCCCAATCCCTAAATCTTCGAAACCCTAATCCCTTATGTAGGTTGTACATGGGCAACACCGATTGCTTACCATCAGGTAATCCGTCTGCTCGTTTGACGATCTGTCATAAGAAAGGGAATAAATGCAAATTAGTCAAAATCAAGTTCATATTTACAAAGTTTTGTAAGAAAAATACTATCAATCTGATAAATCATTAATAAAACTCTTAAACATAATTTTCGTTCACTCCTTCTGTAAGTGTTAATAATTTAATGAATTGCGTTTCATACTTAATTGAACCTAAAGTGTGTATAATCACAAATAAGATTTAATTACAACGCTTATTATTTTTGCAGTATATATATACTGTGATAAGTAAATTATATGGTAGAATTTCTAAAGCGATTTCGTCAATTATAATTAAAAGAAAATACCTTTTTTATCCATCAATGTGTTGAAGTTTGATTTTTGGAATTACGAGTTACAAACTCGTAATTCCAAAATCAACTTACCCTTAAACTTTAGGAAATTAAATAAGTAATATTTTCTTCCCTCTTTCAAGATTCAAATTTTCAGCTTAAGTTTTTTCCACTAATATTTTTTGGTATAATAATGTCACATTTTTTACAATTAGGTCTTTGTTGGTCTGGCCTATTTATTTAGCCATCCAAAGAAATCTCCTAACTCCTTTAATGAAAATAATACTTTATTTAGTACGGAATACATATCACTTTACGTTTTCTATTACAAAACTCCGCTGACATTGACTGTGAGGGAAGTGTTACAAGTTCACACAAATATGTGCGGTTGTGGTGAAAGCTACCAGTAACGCCCTCTAGCGGAGCTTTGAGGAACTAAAAACTACGACTCACACGATCAAAAATTGTTCGATAAGCATCTCAAGATAGATCTTTGGACAAATGTATATTTTTGTTGATTATTAAGAGATTTAATATTTTATATTTCAATATTTTTTATTTATTATTAATAGACTCGCTGTAAACGATATTAAACCCGATTTTAGATTTAAGTCTTTGTATTAAATTATTTGAACTTTATTTAAAAATCCCGCAGGACAAAAAAATATTTTCTTGTCAAAATCTTTCGTAGCAAAATAGACAAATATGTACGTCAAAAGTATTACTTAATTATTCAATAATAATGTCATGACCCGATAGGCCAAACGAAACGAAAAAAAAATTGTTGTGATCACTATTTACAGCACTTGTTACAATACATACCTGACGTATTACATAAAAACTACATAATTCAAGTAACAAAAAAGAACCCTCAGAAAAATAAGATTGTTATGTAAAATCATTACACACCTCGATTAAATTTTTATGAATACGGTGTAAATGTAACTATTTTAATTATCAAAATTTAATGACTGAAATAATAAAATTTCAGTCAATTAATAAAATAAACTTTAGATTGTAATAGTAACAAAATAAATGCATCCTTGCATTGTTTCTCTATTAAATTATATAAAATAATTGTGGGATTACCAATGACGCAAATACTGGTTTAAACGTCATTATGTATTATTTAGAGGTTCCTTACCTTTGTTTTTATTATAATTATGTCACGTAACGAACCGCACCTACATTTATCTTTTGACGTATGTATAACAGAAGTGATCATACTTTTCCACTTACACACACATCAAATAAAAAAACAATAATTACTTTACTATTGTGTTTTTTATTTTCATTATCACATAAAATAAAAATAAAACAATAATAAAGTAACAGACATAAAATAAAATGATTTGCCCTTACGACTCTTTTGATATTGCAAGTGAATATGGATTGCTCGAAAATAAAAACAAGAAAATATTCATCTCTTTAAGTTCAATAATCGAAACCAAAACCGAAACTGATTATTCATATTCTTTTTTCATCTTTAGACCAATGAAGGGCCTAACTAACTAACTTTTATAAAATCCACAATTCCATACCTACCCGTTGTAGCGGGTAAACATTACCAATATCGCGAAGGTCGGTCCGAAGATATATTGCTAAATAGCAATCACTTGTGCGTCCAAGTGCAAGTTACACAATATTTGACAAGTGATGTGAAGCGATCGTGGACTTACGACTGGTTTTTTTATTATTTTTTTCTCTCTACTTGACCCTGTCCGTCTGCGGTGAAAAATCCTCATTAAGTTTCTTTGTTCTTTAGTGTAGTACGTATTTTTTTTAATTGTATTATGTGGGGATGTTTGCAGACTTTGTAAACTGTTCGATAATTTTTCATCATTACCATTATTATCAAATTTAAAACAGTTACTGTACATAACCTTCTTCCAATGTTTTTAAAATCAGGTCAGTATGAACATAAGGTTCATTCAATCATATACTTGACATTATATGTACATTGTGCAATATGAATAAATAAATAAATAAATAAATATGAAAGTTACGGCATATTTATAACTACGACTAGATTTGTAGTTTCTCAATAAAAAAACAAACAGCAGATATAATATTACTATACAAGAAAACAAAATTAAATTAACGGAAATTTTTAAATAAAAAATAAATTTTAATTTTAAATAAATTAATACATAAATTCCCGTATAAAGCATATTGATGAAGAAATTTTAAGGTGGATGGAGATTAATTTATGTCGATTGGCGAAAAGTGAATGCACATATCTGCAACGATCCTCAAACTGCAATTTTGAAAAACAAATCTTATCACATGCTACATAGAATACATATTCATTTATATTTAATTTATGTCTATCACAAAGTACATAGACTAAATGTCATGGGTATATTTGAGTTCTTTGTTTTTACAATTATTTCTCACGTTTTTTCGTGTAAATCTTGTCAAATTAACCTAATATTTTATGAAGGCTGTATGTTGCTATACACACATCGTTTGTCGTATAATAAATATATGCATTTCACAAAATAATATTATATTGATTTTAATATTAATATAGAATTTCATAATAATGTTGTAATTTTAGCATTTAACTACAATATTATTATTTTAAAGATAAAAAAAATATCGTGAAGAATCATTAAAACTTTAAAATTAAATTCATGAAAACGAATAATAATAATCTGTACAGGAAACTACGTAACTGCAAAACCTAAATGCACTTTGAACTCGACAAGAAAAATGACCGGGTTAGAACGTAATCGAAAAACAACTTTTTCTACAAGATAAAAGGTATAATACTCTTCGATGGCGTCATGTCGCTTATGTCCTTGTAGACTCGTGGGAGTACGAAGGCTTGTGATTGGTGGAGCAAGCGCGGGCTATTCAATTGTAGCTGAGGTATCGGCGCGCGCACACTTTCGCAAAACTTCAGTCAAGTTTTCGCTTTCATCCGTTGAGATGATATCCGCACGTGTTTAGTATTGTGGCACTAATAAATTAATTGACGAATAATGCTGAGAAGGAAATATTATCGGTAAAATAATTTACGAAAATCTAAATTATTTTTTTTAATAAATCAATTTTATTTCTGAGGTTTCGTGAATTCAAAAATAAAATAGTTTAAAATAAAATAAAATAAATATTTCCAATATATTATTAATTAATATTTAATTAAAATTAAAATGTTTTAAATATTTCGAACAACAAAATGCAATTTATTTTAAAGGAATAATTATATAATTACAATTTATGCTTTCACTTTCTTTCATTGTTAACTTTTTTCTTTTAATTTCAGGTGACAGCTTGCTTGGTGCAAATTGTTACCAGGACAGTCAACCAGTTACAGACTTCATAATAGTGAAGTGGCAGTGACAAGTGAGAAGTGAGACTGAGACAATAATAATAATAATTATTATTATTTCCTATTAATAGTTCAGTGCCTAAATAATAAATAATAAGTCAAAATGACCGGTTTTGTGAAAATTGCCATAGACGATTATTATTCGGACAGCAATTGGACGACAATTATAAATAAATATTGGATGCTGGCAGAACGAGTGTCAGGTGAGACAAAATTTTATTTATTTTTAATTTTAATATTAATAAACTATTGATCCTGTGAATGGAAAGGAACATACATAACTATTTAAAATTTTAAAATACCGACATAAATTGTAAAATTACATAGAGAATAAAAATGTCTAAAAATGGCATAGTAAGATTTGGATTTCGATTTTAATACCATATCATGTGAAATGTAAAGCAAGCGATTTTTCTTTTTTATAAGACTTAAATTAGGTTCAAGTTAATTCTGCAAAGAGCCAAAAAATAAATAAAGTGTCAGTAACAATACTGCGTACTAGATATCAAGACTAATATTTTATTTTTAATCACATATTAATCGAAGTAAGTTTTAAACTGACATCAATAAGTTCTAGTTATACATACTTTCACGGTGTATTCGTCGCATGAATACACTAGTAAATTTATTAAATAAAATTCTCATTTTACATGCACACATGTTCCAATAAATTAAATATCGAATAACATACATAGATTTAATCTTTTTTTTTCTATATATGGTGTTTAAAACTATATTACTGGCTGACTTACCGAAGCCAGAGAGTTTAGCAACTCTAGAAAGATTAAAACAAATTCTATTGCAAATAATTTCGCATTCTTTATTCTGTGTCTGACACATTATAAATAAATAATAAATTGTGCAATGCGATGAACAGATTATGTTGTAATATTAAATTAAGAATTTTGCAACACTTTTTAATCATTGCCAATGCCAAGCAATAAAAATTAATAAAATGAAATAATTCTCTCAAATTTAACTCATATAATAAGAAAGATATGATTGTTGTTTTTTTGGGATTGAAAAGACTACGAAACTTCTTGAATAATTTGAAAAAATTCTTTCACTTTAGTGTAAAAATTAAAAAGAAAAATATATGCTATAAATCGCGGGGCATAGTTAGTTTACGATAAATAACTGTTTATTTGCTTAGACAAAGAGACATTTGAATATCAAACAACCATCGGAACTAAGCAAGGTCTAAAGTAAAATCATTATCTCGAATACTTGTTGGTACTTTGTCACGCGATTACTAAACCTGTCAAATTATATAATACTACAACAATTACAGGTAGACGCTTCCGAAGCCTTCTGTGGAATATAAAATACTTTACAGAAATTATCCAAGATATCGTTTTATATCCTACTACAGTATATCAAAATTTGGTGGTTTTTACGTGATTTATTTTTTTTACTTATTTATTATTTATTTTAAGGTGAATCGATAGCTCTACATTATAAAATAACAAAGAGTTAGTAGCACCGACCACTTGCTTAGCTTAATGCTAAGACAGTAAAATAGTTTGTTCGACTGGTAAATTAACAAAAGTTGTATATTTATATTGTAAATTCTCTAAACCATCACCTTATTACCCCATGAGAAATTGACAATAAAAGGATAGTTCAAAAAAAATCGTAAAACTACCAAACACTTTGTCCAAAATGGTACACCCATTAATACTTCTAACCTTGAACACCAAGAATAACAGATAAATATTTTCCTAAAATTCACTTTATAAATACAAAAATGATAAAATCATATTTTAAATATATCTCAATTAAAAATTACAACAAGGTTTAACGACCTATTTTGTATAAATTAACGTAAAATATAATAACATATGCACATTGAGAGTGAAAGAAAATGCAACCTGACTTCCTAAGAAACCGGATCAACCGGACCACTCAAAGTGTGTTAGTCGTAGTACGGTCTCTACTCTAACCATCGGTTATCCGACCAGTTACCAGTCCAACTGGTACCGTAACAATTTGAACAAAATCGAAGATAATTTTAAGATTCACTTTAAAGTTTAAATAGAGAGGTAATAAATTAAAATTAAAATGAAGTCGGTTAAAAAAGATTTTGTTAAGAGGTTCAGCACAAAATTTTTAGACACACTTATTATGAATTTGGTGTAGTTATAGAGCTAAGCATTTCTAGTACCTGCTTGCATGACAAAATTTAGGCTCAATCGATTGATAGTTAAGCCTTGAATGATATTTTGATTATTTTTTCATTAAAAAGTCGAAATGATTAAATTGTTGTATACGTAAAGTACCCAACTGATGGCAAGCAAGGGTATTTAGTGTAACAATAAACATTCCAGTAATAACAAAATGTTATCTACCATCTAAATGTATAGATAAATATGAGACGGAACGAGTACTTATGATATATATAAAAAAATTAACAACATGAAAAATACTGGGTTTTCGTGTCAATGTCAAACGCAAAGAGAATTTAGTTTTCAATGTCATTATCTAACGCGCTAGAAAAACTCGTTCGTATTTTTACGATGTGTTTTATATGCGTTGTATGTACGAAAAAAAACTTAATTACTTTTATGCAACCGCAATAAAATATATGGTCTTTTATAATAAAAATTTAATATTCTATCAGCCAGCCAAAACATTTTTTTATAGATTACAATATTGTACCTAAATTTTTTTGAATAAGGAAGACCAAATTATGTATAGATAAAAGTCGCATTTTCAATTCATTCTGTCTTATTTATAGAAATCTAAACCAGTATCACTGGTAATTTTTCATTACCTACAAAATTTCAAAGTTATTTCACATTTAGCTAAGAATTGTTCATTACTAGTTTTTGCCTGCGGCTTCTCTGTATAGTCCACACTAGAAATTATATCTGTGCCCAATTTCATTGTTGTATATAAAAATACAAATTCTATCTCTCTCTCTGTCTCTCTCTCTCTCTGTCTCTCTCTATCTATCTATCTCTCTCTATTTTTCAAGAAAACAGTGAGTACCAAGTTATATAAATATTTATATATATAAACTAAAAATTATTAACAAATATTAGACACGGTATATTTGAACGTCCTTCCGCTGTAAGTACATCACACGTAAAAGTGATTGTGTAAAGCTAATGCAATAGTTACTCGATAATGATGCCAAGGACTATATCAATAAAATAATTATTATATTTTACTTCAACAAGTTAATGTTAATATAAGTGTTTGAAAACTGAATAAAGTGTTTAAGCACTCACATGTTTACTAAGAAAACAATTTGATTAAATATTTTGTGAAAATAGTGAGAAAGCTTTCGTTTTAGAATAGGAAATAAAAAAAAAATACTAAAACCTCTTTATAAATCTGTCGAAGACAAGATATACACAAAGACATATGTTTGGTATTAACACTGCTTGATAATTACTGTTCATGATCCTAATTAATCCTACTTAAATAACGTAAACACGAAAGTTTTTGCGTATGTATAGATTGATAGATCTTAGTTACTCTTGCACGTAAAAACGACTGAATGAATTTTGATTAATATTGCTTTAAATAAAGATTATAGTTTGTAATAATACATCGACTACTTTTCATCCGGTTAACGCAGACTAAACCACTCGCAAAAGCAAGTAGAACATTAATCTAAACTTACAGAGAGTAATTACTATGACTAAAATTAAAAAAAACAAAGATCTATCTAGCTCTCAATCTATTACATTACCTGTTACAACCACTTAAGACTAATGATAAAATCTGAATATAATTAATCAACCAACAATTACTACTAGAACAAGTAACACAACTTAAATTAAATGATAAAAACATTTAATTAAAACTAATATAATTGTTGTAGAGGCAGATAGTCTAATCAATAGAAAGCAATTCATCTTAGGAGCATCTGGGAACAATGATACGCCACTTTCACATTCTGATTTCACGCAGTAAGCTACGGTCGCAGTGACCACGGCATTACGACCACAGGTTACGTTCAATGATCATGGCTGATTATGATGGCTGTTATCATCATTTATTTACTTCCCACCAGTGTTTTATAAAATTGAGATTTTGCATAATCTACGTCTGGAAGTGAAAGGATATTTTTTGCGATGTGCCGTATCTAGAATAGATGATTTATTTCACAGTGTCTTGAAATTAATGTTTTAACATAGATTTAACTGTTATTCTACAAAGCTAAAAAAGTATTATGTTCAGTATAGAACAAAAATACTGGTAAAAATAACCAGGCAGAGATCGAACTCATACAGCGCGTTGATGTCTTTTCTATGGACAATTGTAACTACAAAGTAACTAGTTAGTGTTGGCCTATCTTCTGCGCCTTTATCTTTGTGAAATGTTATCAATAGTCCGTAACACTTTAACCATTAATTAATTCATGCTTTGATAAATAAAGAAGCCTTATAAATAATCGTAAAATTAGTTTTTCGTTTATTATTCAAGTACTTACAAGGCTCTTCACTCGCTTATCGGATAAAAAACTTACACGACAGTTATAATAAAACTGAATTATTTTGTTGTCTTCGTGTTAAATTATCTGTTAATTATTTAACTCGCTGTCAGTACTGGCAGACATTGTTCAGTAATCAGTGCATTGCTGATAATACGAGTACAAGACAAGTACTTTCCCATTTAAGGGCTAAAATATAGTAAAGTTGTAAATGGTATAATATAATTGTAATTGCTTTAACCGCTACATCATTACTTACTGTAATTGCATTCCCACTTTACTTGGTTATACACACAACGTCAGTGACTTTCTATTTTTGAATTAATTGCTTTAATTATATTATATCGCGGTTTCTAAAATAAATATATTTTTCTCGGTGTTAAAATTAAATGTGTATCCATGTAGTTGTAAGTTTTATCTTAACTATATTTTAATTTTTTATCATTATCATGCTATAAAAATAACGATAAAATATATATGTTTACGTTGATGGTATTTTTTGGAAGTGTTCGTCGGTAAAACAGACAAATATTTTCAAAAATTAATATTACAAGCGACTTTTTGTCCCTACCTATTGCAATAAAAATAAGTGTACCTACTGTCTGTCTATACGTATGTGAGTCAATTTTAAGTTTTAAAGCTTAGGTATATAAATAAAAAAATACAAACAGAAAATACACAAAACGAAACATTTTAACGAAAGTTAGTAAAAAAAGAAAAAATATACTGTCAAAAATAAAATGAAAGATCAATCGGCAAGCGAAGGAATGTAAACCAGTTTAAAGATATGAATGGAAATCATTTTATGAATGAAGTGTTTTTACAACGCGAACTGGAACGCAATGTTTTTTTTTTACCTACCCAAAGTTTATTGCTTGATCTTTTTTATTGTATTTTATTTTTAAAAGCGAAAATTATTTGTAAAATTTATCGTAACTACGTTTTATAAGATTTTCTATTGTTTTTTTTTCAATCATAGGGCTTTATGAAAATGTTGCTAACTGAACATATTTTTTACTTTGTGTCTATTATCATTACTTAATGACGTTCATATATATAGCAATATAAAATGAAACCAGACGGCTTAGCAATTTATATTAGTATAACTAGAACTAAATTTATTCTCATAACAGGTCAACAACAATTCTGTAATTTTTTTCTATCAGTTATTTTTATTAAACATGTACTTTTCGACGGATAATCAAATTATTAAAGCCACCATAAAGCTCCACGCATACAAACATAGATTTTACGAAACTAAGTATTTTCACAGTTTTTAAAAAGAGAATGTTATGTTAATAATAAATGTTAATTGAATTCAACTATTTTTCAGATCCTCGTGTCCAAGGATGGTTTCTGTTCGACACTCCGCTGCCAACAGTGGCGATGGTATGTGTGTACCTGGCGTTTGTGATGGTTATTGGACCACTATGGATGGCGAATCGAAAGCCGTTCCAAATTCAAAATACGTTAGTAGGGTACAACGCTTTACAAGTCCTGTTGTCCTCCTACATGTTTTACGAGGTAAGTTGTGATTTATTTTATGTTTAACTGTATTTTGAGTAAGAAAAACGCTTTAATGTTCGATGGTACAGATTTTAAAATATTCCCTACCTCACTCGGTTTTCGTTAATTTTACTTTGTATCGATATTATCGACCCACCGCAGCTTGGCACTAAATTACTCCTCTCTAGTGAATGTTATAATACCATAAAACATTACACGTTAATATAATTTTATCTATTTAAACAAATCGCATCAAAATTACGAAAAAGTATGCTAAAAGCCTTAGAGACAGAGAAAGTAACTTTGGTTTATAATTTGAACCTTCATTAAACGGCGATTTTATCATCATCATCATCAGCCTGCCCACTGCTGAGCAAAGGCCTCTCCTCATACGGAGAAGGTTAGAGCATTAATCACCACGCTTGCTCAATGCGGGTTGGCGATTTCAAACTTATAATAAGAAATTATACGACCAGGTTTCCTCGCGATGTTTACCTTCACCATATGTCAGTGGTGTCTAAATAATCATAGAAAAGGCGATCTAAAAATTAGAATTTATTTACTTTCCCTATTCATGTATTCAATACGAGAACAACAAATACATAAAAATGACTTATGTTTATTATTGGATTCAAGTTCAAGAAACTTAAACAAATAGATAAAATCATTTACATTCTATCGTGACTTTATCTAAGTACTTAACGATGTATGAAATTTATAAACATCATTTAGTCGCGGATTAAGAAAAAACTTATAAAATAAATTAAATAAAATGGTTATTAAAATGTTCAGCTACTTAATAAATAACAAAAAAGAACTTGTAAAACTGTAATGACTAAAAATTACACACGCATATGAAACCAATAAATTAAATTAACACGCAAATTTTATGATCGTTAACTGCTCAATTAGAGTTACACACATTAATTAATTATCTTAACTGTCAGTAATTTGTCCACGGCCTGTACAATAGATGTAACCGTTTATATTTAGGTAAAAAAAATCTTAGATTTAAAGTATTATAAAAGACAATGTATAGAGCGCAATGTTTATTTATTATGTTGTAGCAACATATACATATTATTTTTTGTGTAGTAACTCATAATTGTAGTGTTTTTAAATGGTTCGTATTAGAATAGTTAAATATCGTGAGAACTACTAAATTTGTTGAAAAAAAAACGACCGATTTGCGTGGACTTACTGAGAAAAGCTTGACTAGTTTCATACTGCTCACGCTGCTTATGAATAAGAGTCCTGCAATGACTCGAAACTAGTTCAGCTTTTATTGAGTAAATCGTTATTTTTTTATTAATTAGAATATTAGAAATTAACTCGTTTTTGGTTCGATTGTAACTCGTATGACAGTTGAGTTTGTTTTTATATTCGATATAAATTGATAATTAATTTTGCTTTAGGCTTACGTGTATAAAAAATCTTAATAATTTATAAATATTATTACCTATATAATTTTTTTAGAAAACAATAGGCTTAATCTATAATATATAGATCTGTCTGAACTAAAATGCTAACTAGTCTAATGAATTTGAAAGTAACATACACATTTATCTTCTCGTTATTCTAAAACATCATACGATGATCAATAGGCGTGTTTTGCTTTATAAAAACGGAACTGCCACTTGTAATGTTTTATTTATTTAACTGTACAAACGAAAGTGAAAGGTTTCGTGAAATTACGTAACCTGTGAGTTATCATTACACGCCGCCATTACATTTTTGTTATCATTAAAAAATAATTACTATGCTTTTTTAAACACGGCTGAAAATAAAACTCATGCCTACCGCATCTGACGTAATTGTATATTCATCTGAATTAGTTACATAGAAAAAAATATGATTCGCCATGCCGAATGCAGTATCGACTTATTATGTAACACTAGGCATAATTTTTAACACAATAAAAGTTACAAGTAAAACTGATTCGTATGCCGTTTCGTTTATTTCTTAATTTTTACAAATAAAGAATTTCTTGAATCTAAATTTATCTGGCGAGATGAATTTTGTACTGATCCATAAAAGTACAATTCTAGGATAACAACACTTAGAGAATATACAAAAATACTATGTTTTAAAAGAAACTGAATGATATTTTCTTCTTATTTCTTTCATGAATGAAAAGATGAAACTAAATTAATCCTTTTCTTATTAATACTCAAAGTGCTGCCCTTACACAAACAAAGCGCTACAATCAAGTAATCGATTGTTTGACACAATCGTATAAAAATCGCATGGTTTAACATGTCAAGGCGCCTAGGCAATTTCATGGGTCTGTGGCGATGATTTGCATGCAACTTTGATACTTATGACTTTCAACTTTATGTTGATATTGAATAAAAGCAATATTATAGACTTTAAGTTGAAGAAGTAAACACTTTTGCATAGAACCTACTTTGTTTGGGTAATGGAATTTAACTTTAAGAAAAATAATGTGATAGGAATAAATATAATAAAAGTAAAGAATACAAAACATATTTAAAAATACAACAAAAAACACTAAGTTATTGCACCTCAAATAAAATATTCTTAGATTATATTTAAAAATAACAATACTATTCGCCATCGAACTTGATTGGGGTTAGTCGTTCTCAAGTTACGAACATTCTAACGACCAGACGTACATACATATTTGAACAAAATGTACACAACATCTTCCACAAACGGAACTACAATCTGATAGGAATGCCATTGTTAAGTCTGACGTTGATTACGTATAGAATTATGTTAAAAACATGGACGGATCCGGAGAAAGTAACTTTAAGATAAAACAGACCCTTCATTGTACATATATTCTACGTTGGGAGAGGTCAGTTTAAACTGGACATCTGGCTTGAGACTGTACAGCACACATATAGTACATTTCTATTATATTTTGCAAAGTAACGATGTTAAATGACACATCGATTGCTTTGAATAGACAACTGAGGTTCTAAGGCTCTTTTCTACACTAAGATTTTCTTAGATAATAGGAATTTAGGAAAAAGAAACCGCGATTGACTCTATAGTTCGTTCAAAAAGAAGCCAGTGGTACTCGTATAGTTAAATTAGAACGAAAGAAACAAATAAATTAAAATGTATTTGTCCAAACCCCACCGAAAAAAGATACTTATAGCATTTTGTTTAGTTTTACTTAATTACTTGGAAAATATCTTAAGCCGTTCGTAAATACTAATAGGCTTCTTTACAAGCTACACGTATTTTTGAGTAGTATCTATCGAGAGACATACTAAGAAACATGCGTGCGCTTCCCGGCGACGTCCACGCTATTTATGAATAAGAGTTCCGTTGTGACTTAAAACTAGGAGAGCTTTTCTCATTCAATTCACGTGAATTTTTGTACGTATTTTCTAAGATTACTCCAACACCACTGACATACGATGAAGTTAAATATCGTCTAATTCTTAGTTTGACGTCGCCACTCCACCTGGATTTTGCATAGTGATTTATGCTCATTCTTTCTTTGTGAGAGACGAGACCATTTCTCAGCAGCAGTCGCAGCTTGATAATAATGTGTCTTGTTCGTGAACGGGCACCCGTCAATTGGGACTTATCAGCTCCTGACTGTCTATTGTCCTTAAGGTTATTTTCTTTTTATGTTTCTCTATATACACGCGTTGCACTGTTCTCACATAATTAAACCAACTAAATAATGTATCAAAGAATCTTTATGTGACACTGATTTTAAAAGAGTAACCATGGAGTTTCTTGCTCGTTCTTTTCCGTTCTTGCAGTGCGGAATCTGCACTTCCGAACGAGCGAATAGCTACACTAAGCGAACTGACCGACAGACTGACACTTAATATCTTTAAAATTTTGTTTAACGTTCAAAAGTGTCTGTATGGGTCTTATTGAAATAAATGATTTTGACTTTTTGACTTTTGACTTTTAATGATGACCATAGGCCTTTCATCAAAAAAATAATAATTTCAAATGTTAAAAATAGCTCTCGGATAAAATTAATTTGTAAATTATTCGCTAATTTCATTAATGTGATCACAATACGAAAATGTTATGGTCCATTGAACGAAAAGATAGTTTGTCACAATCGTCTGGCGATGTCATTACATCTAGACTAGACAATGAAATAAGGTCAAGGCAGTTGCGATCAGGTGATCGAGAAATTGTCGGATCTTTCTTTTTTTATGAAATAAAACAACGATGCAGATAGTGTTACAACTGATCAATGTATAGCCAAAAGTGTTTGGCTTGAAATCACGATAGAAAAACTAGTTTGATTTTAATTTTCTCATCGTAGTTTGGAGTTGAGAGATCATTCAAGCTTATCTCATTAGAATCTAAAATGTTATTTTGTTGTCTATAACTATTTGTGCCATGATATTTTGATTTCAGCTATGTATCAGAATAATAAGAATTTTTTTCACGTAAACTTTTTGAACTAGGGGAGACATATCTTCTTCCCTCGAAAATGAATTGTAATGTGAAAATCTTTTTGTATTTATCTCAAAAGGAAAACAATAAATAATATGTAAAAAAAAACACACGCTGTACTATAACTTTGTGATAACATCGTTGAGCTACAAATGAAGCATAGCTGGTACAATTTGTACATAGAAAGATAAATTATGTACAAGGTGTGTACAAGCTATGCTTAATTACTGCGATACACTACAAGATTGTAGTTTTAGTATTATGTATATTTATATCCTACTACTATATTATAAAGGCGAAAGTTTAAAACTACGGGTAAAAACTACTGAATGGATTTGAATGAAGCTTTACCACAATATAGCTTATACATCAGAATAACACATAGGCTACAATTTTTGAGGTTTCCAATGTGAAGTCGTAAAAAAACACATTTTTTGCGCTTACGTTTCCAAACCGAAGAATCTGCATGTTTATGCTGAAGGAAAAAGATTGTTAAATGTAGTTTATAGAAGCATACTGCAGTAGCTACCTATAACCCTATGATTAGGGTTCTGCAGTGCTTAGTTACCGTATTTCTTACTTATTACTAGACTAGACGGGACGAACCTGAAGTCCACGCAAACGAAGTCGCGGGCAAAAGCTAGTACTGAATATTTTTAAATGACCTGTCTATCAACGATCAACAGTAAAGACATTACAACTATAATACTCATTACAAAATTTACGCAATATTAAACCGTACGAATAGACAGTGCAAAATTCTTGGCAAGTCGGTCAAGGCGCTATTGATATACAATGAGAAATAAAAGTTACCGAATAATTACTATATATTATATACAATAAAATTGATTGTGTTACGGTTCGTTAAAAGTTCGATGTTGTTCTGGATTCAGACTAATGTCTAGGTCTATTGAAGATTTTTGCACGCTATATGTCTATAAAATTGGTTTATTGAATAATTATATATAATATACATCGCTACATAACTTCTGTATATATGTGCATTATACAACTTTTTACTTTTTAGATTTCGCTAATTGTTTTTCTTGTCGTGTTGGTTATAGTCAGGCCTCAAAAAAAATTCTTATGGGGAAAATTTAGAAAAGTGGCAGGTCGTTACTTGTATTATGTTAATCGTGATATTTTTTTGTTTTTTTACTGTTTTACTGACGTTTTAGTGCAGTAGTTAATACATGTATTGATTTCAGAATTTTCGGTATAAATAATAGTTGTTTCGTTTATTGGGCACCTTTAATAAACTTAATAATTACGTAATTAGGGGGATTTCAAGTAAAACTGCACTAAGGATAAAATTACGTCAGGTTATATACCTTTTAGTTAGTTGTCAGTACGATTACTAATTCAGTGTCTTGAAAAATGAAAACGCCAAACTCCCAAACTCCATAATATAAAAATACACAATTATTCGATAAAGTCATTTTCAAATTAATATGTCACATTAAACGCTGTTAACAGAAACATTTTAGTTAGGTGACATTCTTATTTTAAAATACAAAACAGTTTTCATACATTTTTATTATCATGTATTAATTTATTATTTTAAATACTTTTTGCAGAATCGTTGCACGTTGGTGGGCTTCATGTTATAATTTTATGATAAATGTATTAATGACATCATCTTATTTCCAGCACTTGATGTCAGGCTGGTGGGGAGACTACAGTCTATCATGCCAACCGGTAGACTACAGCGACAGTGAGAAAGCGAGGCGTGTGAGTACAATAAACCCTTTCATTATTACAATTACTGCTCTTAACGTACAAATTCACTTCACATGATGAACTAATAAGAAATACCCGTGTGGGTTACTGTCACAGTAAGTATGGAATACTTGGAATTGAGTTATGATTAGTTCTAAAAAATGAAAGTGCCAATCAGACTCTGAGAATATTAAGTTTCAGAACAAAGACTTTTAATCGTCAAAATACGACCTAACACTAAAAATTTTAGGTACCTATTAGACGAAAAATATTTTATTTTTAATATAATCTAGGTTTCTCTAAAAGAGTTGTAATAATATGAATTATCTTAAAATGCCAGCCAAAGTTGCGGATCAAGGTATAAGGGACCATAAGTACTCGGCCCAAAACAGGAGAAGGAACAGGATGGTATTTATTCAGTAAAAGTCTGACACCGCCGTGTCGCCTCACCCTGGGCGAGACAAGTCATTTGACGATATTTTCCATCAAAAAAAGTGCTGATTAAATGACACTTGATTACATAGAAATATCCAGAACACCAACCAATCCGGTCTAAACACTTCTTTTGGTGCCTCAACATTCTAACATAGTAAGACGTGACACACCCATCTTCAGATCCTCCTCCTAAGCCAATTAAAGTCGCAAACATGTGTCAATCTGCGCCACTTTATCTCTAATTCACACATCGACATTAAGCCCCAAAAAAACGTCACCAGTTATGCAAAAATCAATAACTTTCTACACATACAAACTTCGGTTAAAAGTATCAACGGCTAACGAGGCACCACACGCATCTTAAGGTGTAGAAAGTACAGCAGACACTATTAACCCACAGCCTACTGACAAACTAGACTGTACATTTCTAATATTAATTGCACGCACGTAATTTTTTTATACATATAAATTATCATAATAATGAGCTTATGTACAGTTCCGGAATGTGGACTGCTAACTCGTATGTAATGACGATATATGTATTATTATATTTTTATATCTTTTAATCTACTTTCGTCACACTTTTTCATAGATACGTAATTTAGATGATGTCAAATTGTTGCGTTGTTTGTTATGTAAGTTTGTAAAAGAAGAGTGTTTTCTCTTTAATGCTTGCTCAGCAATTTAATATACGTTATGTTACATTCTAAAATTTAAACTTTAAATGTAGTTCGATTGTCTTTTTGTGTCATTTTATAAGCATCAAGCAAACAGTGTATTATGTAACTAATAGAGAATTAGAGTTTGAAAGTTAACATTTCTTATATATAAAAGTAATTGTACTGCTAGAGCTACTTGCTATTTGAAAATTTGCATTTATAAAGCCTACTAAGTAATAAAGTGAATATATTCCTTGAAGAAATAAGTATGCAGAATAAAATGCTTGGTAAATAGATTTAACAATTCAAACCAAACAGTAAAATTAAATGTTTTTAAATAAATAAATTATTATTGAATACGCTAATAAAACACACATGAGTACACTTTTGTCGGGCTAGTGGAAAACCACGTGTCTCGCATTGGATATCTTTTTCTACTAGCTATAAATGCAGGAAATTTTATTTGTATTAAGATTTAATATTACGTGAATTGCCAATAAATTTAAAATAGATATACTTACCTACGCATCACCCGAGGAGAGATACTCAATTTTGCACTATCCCAGACAATGTCCATTCTAACTATTAATAAGTCTACGCATAGAGACGTCAAGATCCAACGGTACCGAGTTCTCAACACATGACTTTCGAATATTTTGTTTATATACAAAAGTGAAATTGCACAGTTCGCTATTTATTTAGTTAAAAGGAAAAGGTTTTGAATTGGTAACGTAACTCGTTTTTAAAGGAAAAAATTTGTTTAACTCGTGCCCTATTTCACAATTTATCTACTTATAATTAGCTACCCGCCCCGGCTTCGCACGGACGCAATGTTGATATTAATAATTCCTCTCTAAAAGTCAAAATCCTTTGGAAAGTTTTAAAGAGAAAAGCGCACAAGAATATAGGAAAAGAACTTTGTTTAATACTATGTTAAGTACTGATTCAAATCAATCGTGATAAAATAAATTTTGTTAACAATTTTACTAATTATTTTATTCAATCTTTAAGCATTGGGGATATGGCATATAATCGAGTGGATGAGAGAGGACACTGGAGTCCGCGTAGGATGTGAGTAAAGGGAAAAATTACAGGGATATGACGTCACACAAACACGCCAATGTTCGCTTATTGATTACTATGTAGTACCGTAAGAAAGATAACTCTTTTTTAATTGCTGGAAGATAATTTAATCTAAACAGATACTCTTTTTAGGAGAAATCTATCTCTTAATAGTTTTTTTTCTTTATTCTCTACGCTCTGTGGGTGACCAGATGGAGATACCTACTAATCCGATTAGTTAGTGTTGATATTCCTGTACCATAAACAAAACCATAAGTACTGCTTATCCTTACAATAATAAAAGTGGGGCATTTAATCGGTTGCGTGGTTTTAAATAATCAAAAGACAGAATAGATATCATTTGTCACCAAACAATGAAATTGAACAGTTGACTTGAGTTTTCAATGTTGAAGTGCAGGATTATAAACTTAATTAATGACTAACAAAGAAAATAAAATCATTATTTAACTTATAGATCCGCTTCTGAATGTCTCTCTGAATAGATTACTACAAACATTAATAATAATACCAAATTCGGAAGTCAAAATAAAAAACACCTTTATTTACATCAGCCCATATCTAATAATTTATCACTCATTTCATTTAAAACAAAATGATTGACTCCAATATTTTATATAAGTACTACATATTGTTGACTCATTTCGACTTCAGCGACCTAGGACCTAAACCTTCTTTCGAGAACCGTGCGTTCAATATATTAAAAACAGGCTTTTTTGGGGGATAATCATCAAATTACTTCTCTCGACCAAGGTGAGGCGAGGGTAGAATCAGACTCCCACTGACTAAAAATGCACCATGTTCGTACCTGCTTTATTGCTCTTATTGATTATTGCTCTTGCACCCGCAACCCAGACTGAATTACAATACAACATTGATTTGAAAACTCTCTTATACCAACATTAGTGAAGGATATACCCAAAGACTATTTAAAAAAAAACATCGATAAAACATTTATTTACTTATAAATTCAACATTTAAAAAATTACAATCTTTAAGTATCTTGTTTTAAAAAACAAATCTTCTTATCAAATGATCAAATCCTATAAAGGACCTTAACTCAGACCTTCACACAGTTACATTAAAACACCCAAGAATCGATTTGTCAAAAAAATCAATTTGATTATATTACTCGATTCCTATATTTGTATGCTAATTTTCATAACATTGACCTCCGTTTAAGCAAATCTGTTATGTTATATTGTTATATAACACAAACTTGTTTTGCATTGAACATAATTTTATGATTTGTTTACAATTATAAATAGCAAGCAATGTCAGGGACGTTTATAGCTATAATTATTCTGTAAAATTATATTTTAATAATTAAAATGAGTTTTGGTATTATATAAAGTTGTTGTAGTTATATCACAAGATTTTTGAAAATAACAACTTACTCACGTGCATCTAATCAAAGCAGTAGAAAAATAAGTATTTACAATGAACTTAGTATTTATCGCAATAGATATTGTGTTCGTGCGGGAATCGAACGCAAGATACAGCCAATGTGCCTACTACTCAGTCTAATATCCATAGGTAATTCCTATAAACTACTATAAACCACGAATTCGAACGATTCGGTCTAGCACACATACATACAATTGAAACACACATTATTGTGCACTTATACTGTCATCAAACAAAAAAAGTCATCACATCTTTGATTCAAGATCAACATTGTTTGTATTGAACTCAACCGCAATCAAAATATTGGCTTTAGAACTCGCAATCGAGGTTTTTTGTTCACTTGTCAATATGACGTCAGAATACTTACTACTTATTAAGGCTTATTTAAGCTTATTACTCGTGTAGATTATAGATGCACTGCAATTAAGCTATACTTATCGATGGGACTCTGCAACGTTGCAACAAAAATTAAAACAAAATTAGTCTAATCTTACTAATATTATAAATGTGAATGTTACGATGTTTGGATGTTTATTACTTAATCTCGCCAAAACGGCTCGACGGATCTGGATGAAGTTTGGCACCAGCATAGGCTTTTTATCAACATACCAAGCAGACATAGCCGCAGGCGGAGGCTAGTAACATAAATTAATCATACTATCCTACTAAGTATAATATTATTATTATAAATGTGAAAGTTATGAAGAATGTATGGATACGTTTGCTATTCTTTAACTCAAAAACGGCTGCACTGATTTAATATGTAGATAGGTGATACCTTGGACTAGCACATAGACTGCTTTTTATAAACATAAAACGCAGTGGAAGTTAGTTAATTATAAGGATTCGCCTCGACTGGAGTGCTATTAAGGCCTGAAGAAGTGAAATAAGGCTCCAAAAATAAAACCAGCTAGACTTTCCTTAATTTGAATATTAGTCACAGTTAAATTTAAAATGAAATAAAAAGTGAAAAATGGAAATTTCGTTACTAGAAATAGCGGTATAAAGACTGTAGGTGAATGTAAAGTAAATTACTTCATTTACGTAAACTGTAAGACTGTGACTAAGCTTAAACTAAATATTTGTGGTTACCTAAAAAAAATTTGAATCCGCAAAATAAATCTTGTATATTTTTTCTGAGAAAGTGAGATCTGTTTAACTACACTCTATTCCATAAGGTATAATATACTAGCGACCCAACCCGAAAATTTCTTTACTAAAAATGTATGTTATAAGCCTTCATCTTCAATCACTCAATCTATTAAAAGAAACAAAATCCATTGCGTAGTTTGAAAGACTTAAACATACATAGGGATATAGGGACAGAAAAAGCGACTTGTTTTATATGTACCTACTAAGTATGTAATTTATTTATTTATTTACTAGCTTTAGCGTGCGACTTTGCTCGCGTGGAATGGTGACTTCTTGCAG